TTGCTAGGGATTTCCAAATAACAATGCTTCGTTTCGGTTTTTCTTTATCGATTTACAAATAATTCGGTGTTATACCGTTTAAAATGGTTGGGAATGGACGCAGTTTTAGGACGAAAATCAAAAACAGTAACTTAACGTCCACGCTGTTTTCATTCACACGTCAGTCGATATTGATTTATTGATCCAAATACCGAATCAATTTCGTTTCCAAAATAGACACTTTTTGATCACCGAAAAAAAAATTCTGACTAAAAATTCTTCACTAATTGACTTTTTCTTTATTTTCTTATTTGACTAATGATATGATTTTGGTTTAGATGTTTTATAAACTACGATTTTTTCTTTTGGTATTTAAAAAATCACAAAATATTTTGATACACTTAATTTTACTATGATATGTATTTGGTTGAAGCTTAAATTGCTATGATATGTATGTTGATATTTCAAATGAATGAATTATTTTCGCTTTAAATTTCCATTTGATTTAATTGCGGATTTGAATGTAGAATTTTTCTTGTTAAATAAAAATTTCTTGGTTTTTTCTTCTTTCTTTGCGAATGTTGTACGGCAGGAGGCTTGCTCAGCAGAGAATTTCCATCGAACTATGAACAATATTGGGAAAATATTCTGTGTGTGTACATAAATTCCGTCTCGGTGGTGACGGTTTTTAAATGTTTTTCCCTAATGTGCGCTTGTGAGTGTTTTGCTCCCCACACACATACACGCTCTCACACAGAGACACATACACATGTGAATGCCTAACGGTAGTTCAGTCCATGTTGTTTTCCTTCGACAGCGTGTATTTTTTGTTGTCGTGTTGAAGTGTGCGTGCGTATAGCGAGAGAGTGATGTTTTATTTATCGTTGTTTTCAACTCAATTCCATAGGAACGAAGAATGGGCCAATGCATACATTCACGATGGAATGCATTCGATGTGATCCAAAAGGATAGGCAGACACGATGGATGTGGATGTGGATGTGTGTGCAAATGAAAGCCGTAGCTCGCATGCGCACCACTTGATTTTTCGTCTGAGGGAAATCAACCATTAGCACGTTTAAGCCTGTTCTCATGCTGCAATAATGAAAGACAGAGCACAAAAACATCAAAATGAGTTCGGGGAAAATGCATACGGTTTTTCTCGCAAAAAAAGGAACGAAATTCGTTCGCATGCGAACGCACAGATGGAGTGCCAAAATGAGCGCAGAAAATTTGAGATTGTTCGCCAAATCATACTGTGAAAATGTGCGAAACAACCAGAAATGAAAAAAAAAACTACAATATTTGTATAATTTTTGTTCATAAATACTTGTGTCGCTATTTTGATTTTATTGTTCTGTTAGATTGTTCGATAAATTGCTGACAATTATGTCTTTCGGTCGTTTTGATAAATATTTAATTTCCCACCTTGATTGGCTCCGTGAAATCAATGCGAAGCAAGAGAAACGCGGTTGCAACTTGCAATCGGTTTGCCAACCAAATGTGAATAAACCGAAAACTACATCTATGATTCCCAGAATGTCTACATAAATCATTTTTTGATTTGAATCTTATTGTGCTGTTTTTCCTTTGAAAAAATCCATTTAATGACCGAAACTCATCGTCGGTTTAACATTCATTTGAACCACTATTTGCTTGGTACTGTATTTCATTCAATTTATGTGCATTTCACGAGAATTTGTGTTAAATGACTTAATGGAGCGGACATTGTCCTCATTTGCCTCGGCATTTTTATTCCGCGAATTACCCTTTACTTTTTTATGGAATTGTGCAAATGCGTTTTTGATTAAAGTTGTCGCAAAGGGCTTGACTGTAAGCGAACGATATTAAAAAATAACAGCCAAATGCAACATCTTTCATTTATCCCGTTAGTTTGTTGTTTGTTTGCATGTGTGACTGCATTTCATGAAGTCATGCTGCATGGCATGGGCCATAATAAATTTATTGCGTTCAGCGAAACGTTCATTTATAATTCATTGCATGTGATTACGTTGACTTGCAAATTGGCAACATACAACGCATACATATACATACGTATTCAAGTGCTTGTGTATCACTAATTAATGAAAATTAACAATCAGAGCCTGGCTTCAGGCCACCACTATTGTGGCGCTCGTTGCGGTAGCCTCGGTAAGTAGCGTCGTTGCCAATGGTTGTCAACAACCCTTCGGGAGACTGGCACATTCGAAATTGTGCCATTTTAAACATAACCTCAAAGTTTGTTGTGTCAAGTGCAACGCATTGTTTCCCGTTGTTAGATATTAGTGCAATAAAAGCTAAATTTTTTTATTTGCGTTTTTTTGATAATAAAATGAAAATGTGCATGTTACACCAACACAAAATCAAAAAGATGAGGTTATGTTTGAAATGACTCGTCATGACACACACAATGGCACATTTGAGAATGTGCCAATCTCTCGATAGGGATCATACAAATGTCAAACGTAGTCAGCTTGTCAATTACAGCCGGGGCCTGTTAACAATGAATGCGACGTCATGCATGAGAAATGAATTAGAAGAATGTACGTACAACTTAAATTATTTATTGATATTGATTGGTCCGATTTTCTGTTCGTCTTTTGTTTCGCTGATGGTCATGAGAAAAATGCATCTGCTGTCCAAAGACTGACGATACCCAATTACATATCAATTATAAAATTTGTGAAAGAAATGGATCAGTTGGCGGTTGTACTGCATTTAAAAGTTCATAAATTCTCTATGGTGAAACAAAAAGAGGTTTACCATAAAAATGCATTATCCACAAAATCTAATCGAAAAAATGTACTGCACTTCAACAACGATTATCATCCATAATTCACATATTTTTCGAGCTAAATGACTTTCGTTTTAAGCTGTTTGCGGTGTAATGTTCCTCTTCGTCATAACTTTCTCCCATGTTGGCTTGTGTGCGAGAGCAGGTATAGCTAGGTCATGCATACAAAACGCGTGAATGATGTATGATATTGCAATTTTCCCAGGTGTGCACTCTCTCTCTCCCATCCCTCTTGCTCCCACTATCTCTTACACTCACCCTCACTCGTTCACTCCCTCGTTCCCTCGCTCCCTCGCTCAGCACACAACAAGACATTTTAATCAAAAATTCCAAACTCATTTAATAATACTCATAACTTCATCAATCCACTTGCATTACGGGTTTTGTTGTCGGATTATTCATCGCATTGGAGTGAACGAAGTGAACTGTACAATTAAATACACATATGTATAAACACGGTGAAGATATGGATTTGTGTCTGCTCCATTCCGAAACCATGGAATAGATCTGACCAAATCGAGATATCTGGTTTCATCAAGCATTCCATTCGAAAAACAAACAAGCTTCAAACTAACCATTAAATCAACTGTAGTGTCGAGTGAATGTGTAGTACGCGCGTTAATCCCCATGTTCAAGTAATTATATTAGTTTCAATGGTATTTTATTAAAAGTTTGTACTCACAGTGTTCCCATTTAATGTTTTGTTTTTGAATGCTTTTCCCCGAAAAGTATCCAATGTGCCAGAAGGAGAGAGAGAGAGAGAGTGAAGGAGAGGTGGGAATCACTTCCACCGGCACAAATATTTGGTATGAATAATACAGCGTGCAATGTCTGCATTCAACGAAGCCAAATGTTCTCGCGTACACGACAACAACAGCAGGTGCTACGAAGCGCAGGTAAATAAATATGACAACGAATGTGACTATTGCATTCATTTTTCAGTAACTTCACCTTTCTCACTGTCTCTTCCACTCCCTCTCTCCTCCTCTCTGTGCATAACTTCGACATATGCCCGAAAATATTTTTTTGTTTGTCTGCGCGCTCGCATCGTAATGAATGATTCGCTGCACACTTTGAACAACATATGTTTTTCGAATGTAGAATGCATAGCATACGCACAGACCGTATTATGCCGGTGCATGCACGATTCATCACCAGTTCTAATCCATATCGCAACTTTTATTCATCTTGCTCATTCGCCTGACTATCACATGTATATGCGTTCGAACAAAACCTTCACATCACTGAATTAACACGTTTTCATACCATCCATTTGCCGCCGCCGCCGCCGTCGCCTTCGATGAATGTTCGCATCGATGCACAATGTTCCGTTATGACGCATTCTGAATGCCATTCTGATTGTATTTACATGCGAATATTCGTTGATTAGGCATCTCGTTTTCTCGACATTATTTAATTTCTTCCTAGGGGCTTCACGCGATTTTGCAGAACGCAAATAACTCTGAAAAAATAAAAATAATAGTAAATCAAACCTTCAATCGTAAATTTGAACGATTTTGGTAGATAACGGTGAATATTGGAACATTTTTTGACTATAAAATCTGCACAAATTTACTGGTATGCACGTCAATCTCAAATATCTATGTATATTTGATAATATCCATTAGACTGTAATGTCAAAAAATGTTCCAATATTCACCGTTATCTACCAAAAGCGTTCAAATTCACGGTTGAAGGTTTGATTCACTATTATTTTTATTTTTCATACGTATACACGTAAGTTTGACATATCTATGTATATTCAGTAATATTCATTTGTCATTCACGATGAATATTGTTGAATATACGTGGATATTTCGGATTTACATGCATACCATTGAATTTCTAAGTTATTACTTGATGCGTGCGGATACAAAAAATGAAAAAAATGATTTTTCCCCCTAGATTTCTTCATTAAAACTCGAGTTGGAAAATCTAATTTGTTTGCCATTTGACGCTGTGTTAGAGTGAACATATGCCGGAAATGGGGAAACATACGAGATACTACACGAGTTGATTGGTTGCAAATGCGTTTCATATCATATATGAAGAGAAGGATCAAGAGGTTGCCATTTGCATGGAGACAATTTAATCGAACGTCTATGTTCTATGTTAATAATCATGTCGAGAGCCATTTTATTCCCAAACGCATTTTCCTAAAATATCCTTGTACAAATCTGGTGGAACTGTTCGAAATGATTGAAACAGAACAAAGAAAACACAGAATCATTTTGTTATTTTTTATTACGCATTCATTTATTTCTCATCATATATTATGTCCATGCATAATTTATCGTTCGTACGATTTGTTGGTTGCTTCCTTAATATAATAGCTTGTTGTTGTTGTTTTTTTTTATATTAAATTTGTTTATCTTATAAATTATTTTCATTTTGTCATTAGTTTTTTTGTTGTTTTCTTCTTTTTTTGTTTGGTTTTGGCTTGGAAAAACTCTCTAATCATCATTATCATCATTTTTTTTTTGTTATTCAGCAATAATACTTAATCAATTGATTTTACATTGAAGATTCAATCCAATGAAATTAATTTATTCAAATTTCGAAAGAAAAAAAAAATATTACACGACCATATTTTTTCTCTTCAACCGTCAACGTGGTATTTTGGTATATGGGCTGTGAATGCGGCCGGGCTTGCGTACGGTCATACTGACCGTCGCTCTGAATGCCCAAAAATTTACTACGATCCGAATCGTATGTATGCACACATCTTTATTGGAATGATTTACAAGAGCCTCTCTGAAAATTTCGATTGCAATTTAATTGAAACGACCACACAATCGGAGATCACGAGTTGATCCAATTTGGTGAAATTACAATTAATTTGCAATGAACATAGGTTCAGAGGAGGTCATTTCGTTAAGGGGAGCATGAAACATCAACAATATCAATAAAGCATCGTTATTGATTTTGGATAAACAAATGGTTCTTTTATTTCGTTAGAAAGTGATGGAAATGCCAATCTAGCATCTCTCCTTTCCATTTGTGTGACGAATATCATTTCGAATAAAGATCATATTTTTTCACGTTGTTTGTGTATGATTTTTCTTGTATTCAATTTAAATTTGTTATTTTTTTTAGCTAATTCTTATGAGATAATGTTCTTTTTTTCTTTTGCTGTGTATTTGGCTGAAGCATGTCATGAACCATCCGGCTGAATTGAGTTCGACCCAATTCAATTGATTCTCTTTTTTCTCTATCTACGGGTCGGCTCAGAACATACTCCAGCTTATTCTCTGAACGTGTGTGTGTGTGTGTGTGTGTGTGTGGGTGTTTTTTTTTTCATTTGAATTTTTCTTTAGTTTTCCCTCTTTTTAATTTGCAATTTAACTAATTTTAGTTGGTATTGTATATAGTAGTGTATTGGTAATATAAAATTTAGTATTTTTTTTTCGATTTTTTTGACATCTTTTTCTTTGTTCATGATGTATTTTTTGTTTTTTTGTTTTGGTTTCATCAATCAATCTTTCTTTACTTCGCATGCTAGATAAATGTATATATGCGCCAAATTCAGTAAAATGTGATACGTAATCTGAATGAATGATAAAATTTGATTTAGTTAAAGGAATTCCTGTTTTCATTTATTTTTCTCTTGCTTCTTCGTATCTTTTTGTCCGTGTTCAAGTTGAACACTGTTCATTCATCGCGCATTCATGGTGTATTGGAGAGATATAACCAATCGATCACAAACGATCAATACACAAACGAAAAGATCCGTTGTTTTTTTCTAATTTGGATGATGATTGGCGAAAAATGTGAAGAGTCGTTGTTAAAAAATGCAGCGCATCCATTTGATTTGGCTATCGATGTGACTTTTCGATTGTTGATTTTTCTTAATGAAATGAATGTGGAGAAGAAACATTCGAACATCATTTTTCAATGGGTTTTGTTTGTTTAGGAGACAGACGTGCTCAATCAGATAAATGATATCACACAATTTTGAGTTGATTTTTTTTGGTTTTCGTTTTTTTAAGAATAAACAACAATCAACAATTTAGTCATGCTTGTGTCAAATTCCAAATCGTTTCGGGAGGCATTTGCTCAGTTTGTAATGTACATTTTGAAATTGGTATCTTTTTTGTTGTCTCTCAATTCATGTTTCATTGACAAATATATATGTAAAATATGGAAAATGTGTATTTGCATGCACGCGGTATTTTTTTTTTTATCAATTATGGAATTGTTCAATTGTATTGATTCGAGTATTTATTAATTTGTGATTTTCTTTATCGGGAGGAAGCTAAAGGTTTGTTCTAGCAATGAGATATTGTTTGGTTTGTTAGGTTTCGCCTGGAAAAATTGGACACGCAAACCAGTACAAATTTATCACTTTAAATCGATACAGCTTGCATTTGTGTGTCCATTTTTTGTTGTTTGTGTGTATGAATATAATGCGTAAATATGAGAGCATTTTCAATGTTTAGCATTTTAGTTAGTTCAACAGACACGGTTCGTCTTTCTTTTCGATTACAAATAACTGTACATATATTTGTTTGTTAGTGATTCTATTGAAAAAGGCATACAAGAGGTTTTGTTTATTTTATTTTTTTTTATTTTTAAACTAAAATGTACAAATACATTTCGATTCATTTATTTGCATATGGATAATATAATTTACACTGCGGTTGCTGACGCCATTTCTCACAGATCGTTCGTAGTTTTTACTAAAATGTATTATGTGTGTGTGTTTTTTTTGTCAATTTCAGTTACCTGCGTATTCAGCGTAGTTTTTTAAGAGACGTGGTTTTATAATTTGCTATTAAATTGTTTAATCATTTTTTATTCTCTTGTTTATTGAAAGGTTCGGTGTCATAAAAATCTCTCCCTATCTCTGTGTCTCCCTCATTTTCTCTGCCCTTAACACAATTTAAATAACATTCCATTTCTGCTTTTTCATATCTTTGTTTCACTAATTTTTCGTTTATTTAGAGCGCTACATCACATGTAATCATTCAACTACCCGTAAAAAAGTAAAATGCAATTTAACGCGCGCCAGCCACGCTTTGTGACGGTTGTTCGGCTGCTAAATCAAGAAACAGAAACACTTAAATACATGCAATTGTTGTTGTTTTTTCTTTCTTCTCTTTTTAAATACTGGAATTTAGTTTCTTGAGTTTTTATTGTAAATAGATTGGATCTCTCGTTATTATTTCTTTTGTGTGTTCGTTTTCTTCATAAATTCACTAACGATATCAACGGATGAATTGCGCGTGAAGGCTGCCTCAACTTTATTGTTTCATTGAATAAAATCGGGTCTGTCCGTGTAGCAAATAGTTCGAGCGACACTCAAATGTTTTCATTTTGTTTTCATCATATTTGCGCACATTTTTCACGCGCTAATTCATTCGCACCCAATTTACCACTCATTCCACACGCGCTTCCATCAGATGTCGCTAATCGTTTGATGTGTTGGTGTGTGTGTGTGTGTGTGTGTGTGTTCGTTCTTTCAATTGGTTGTTTCATTTTAATAATAAAATTTGTTTGTCATAATTTATTTATAATGCAATAATATTCGTAAAAGCTTTTCATTTTTCTTTTTATTAAGTTTACCATATTTTTTTGCGTGATTTTTGTTGTTTTCTCTCTCAGTTTCCTTTTTTTCTTCTTCTTTTTAAAAAGTACAATTTATTTTTTAGTTTGCCATTTAACAAAAAACACTAGGCATTAAAAAAAACATTTATATATAAATTATATGTCTTTATTTTTTTTTTCTATTTTTTTATCTCTTTTTTTGTCATCTATTTCTGTTCTCAATATAAATATTTGTTTGTTTGTTTGTTATATGAGTATATTTGCAAATTTGAATCGTTTGTCTGCTTGTGTTGCAACGTAAACGAATGTTTTTGGACTGTCGATGGATCGATTGTTTTTCTTTTACTTTTCCACACGACCATGACGTGTTTCTTATTCATTCATCATCTGTGATGACGTTTCGTTTGCATTTCGGATGATTCATTCGTCCATCGTTTTGCGCGAAACAGACAAATTAATTTCCTATTTTTTTTGGTTTTGTTCGAATGGGATAGATTTGCATGTATCTTTCTTGTAGCCACGAAGTTGATAATAATTAAAAGGTGCGAAAAGATAAACGAAAAAGACGTGTGCAAATCAAGAAGAGAACAGATTTCGTTTAAAACAATCTAAAGCCATAAAATTGAGTTGTTTTTTTTTCTTTGGAAGAAAATGGATATGGAAATCAAATGTATAGCAGTGTTTAGCCGCATAATCACGTGCAGTAAATTCATTCACAAAAAAATAGAGAGAAGTTGATGGTTTCGAAGCCAATTCACTCGATTCACCTCATTCTGACCAGATTGAATCGGTTTAAGCACCATTGCAATTTTCACTGTATCCCAACTGAATACGTCATTTCCAACTTATTCCTTACTATAAATTCCACAAAACCAATTATTTGCATCTGCCTTTAATTGATCAGTGTTCATTGTTCAATTCGATCCTTTGTCAAAACGATTAGTGTTCAGCCACGTCGCAGGTATTTCATTTTCAAATCAATTGTTTTTTTTTTTCTCACAAATGTTCACAATTTCAATTCGATTCGATCAAGAGCAATGTTAACAAATGGTATGTAACATGTTTCTTTTTCCAAGTATTTATTTACAATTTGAATGTTGTTTACATTTCGATCAAATGAACGGTTGGTTTAAAAAAAAAACTTTTTCCATTGGCGATCGTATGTAAGTGTGTGAGAGATTGGCTGTGGATCGTGACCATGTGTTAAAAAAATAACAGGCCAACAACAACTCGTGCACTGCCATCGCTTGGATCCGGTTCGATTTGGGGGGAGGTGGCGAGTATTCGAAAATAAATGGTTCGATTGAATGAAAATGTGTCTCATCCGAATTTCGGTGTGTGAATCACTTTGGATTGAATTCGTTCCAAACCTCACTGAAACGAGAAGATATACAATGGTATAGACAGAGATTGACAGTTAAATTCATTCTACAAGATGGTATGCTTGAAGTGCTTGATCGTGAAATCTAAATATATATTTTCTATATGGAGCCTGTGTACTACAGGTGTGTTTTTGGTGGCTTGAAGCGTGAACGAAATTAGAGATAGAGAGAGAGAGAAATGTCTGTGAATGAAAAGGAGCAAAGTTATGCTTTGTTATGTATTTTTACTGCTTCTAAATGCTAGATTAATGGATTCGGATGAATTTAAGTTACGACGTTTAAGTTTATCAACTAGTGTTCAATCTTGTTTGTATCAGAAACCATCAAATGTTGTTCATTGTTTTCTAATTTTTTTTGCTTTGGTTCATAGTGTTTCAAGGATTTTCTTTTCATCAGTAGAAGTTTGAAAATAAATGGTAATCGTATGATGGAATGCTCCGTTTTATCCGAGAAATCTGTTGTCATTTCTAAAGATGTCAATGGAAAGGGCGATGGAATTTCTTATAGCAAACGAAATGCGAACGTTTTTAATTGCGTGTATTTGCGTTAATACGAGAGAAAATGTGGTAAAAATGTACTAACGCAAGGAATTGAAATAGTTTTTGGAATGAGTTTGAACATAATTGAATGAATTTAAAATTTTATGTTCGCATTGATTTCCCATTCTTTCTCGTATTGATCACAAAATTCAAATGTCTTCTGATTTGTTGGATATGTATGGGGTTTTTGTAATACACCAAAATAATATATATACTAGGGTAAGACAATTTCGATCCATTCTTCAGACAGCTGCTAGCCTAGTCTACAATGGATGCTAAAGATGGTGGTCTAGCGAAAATTGGCATACGAAAAACTAAAATGGATAGAGCATGGCTTCATTTCATGGCAAAAATGTTTGACTTCAAATCGAAATATGTGAAATGCCACAGTAGTTTTTTGGGTTTAATTTACAACAAAAGGAAATAAAAAATCAAATGTCAACTTCTTGCCCGTTCTTACCTTGCCCTTCTTATCTTCTCTATTTACAAAAAATTTCGTTTGAACGGAACGATACTTGCGAATATGTCTCAAATATTTCTCAAATAAAACAGAAAGAAAGTCTAGAGAATGGATTAAATCAAAATGTTGTCCGGAGGATGGGATTTACAGAAATAAACGTATAATATCCATGTAGGACTTTTCATATGTGGTTATTATCAAACAAAGCATTTATCCTCATATTTGCGTCGATTTTTTTTGTTCATTTTATTTGTTAAGGTGCCATTTAAATTTTGTTTTTTTTTTTGGTTTTTTAAAGATGATAACAATGTTACTTGGTGAATAAAAGTTCTTATTTTTTAAGCATTTCTTTTGGTATTTTCATAAAATATTCAATGTTTTTTTTTATTCTTTTCGCGTTTAAGTCGGTTTCATTTATGTTTCGGGTTTCAAATTTAAAACTAAAAAAAAACAACAACCGAATCATAAATAGATAATTTCTTTTTTCAATAATAATCTGAAATATTTGGTATGTTTCTTTCCCTCAATAATCCGTTGTAATAATAATAATAATAATGATGATGATAGTGACTATAAGTAATAAGATGTACGAAAATTTACATGTGTTGCTTCGAAAGGCGAAAAAAAGCAATTCGTCAATGGGATGAATGTGAAAATCGAATACACTTTCAACGCTTGACATTTCGCCTATTCGCGCCCGAACAATAGTCACAGGAATGGTTGTTGCTGTTTTTTTGTCGTCACTGGATAATTTGAACGTGTTTTCGCATTTTTTTGCAATTTTTACTTTTTGTTCAATAATTTTTCGATTTCACAAATTTTTGGTATTTTTATTTTTGCCTTGACATTTGTTATTTTTATTCACATGTACACAATAATCTTATATTTTATTTTTCATAGCTTTTTTCGGGTGACTCTCGTGTATGTGTGAGAGAGAGAGAGTATGCAAATGATTAAAAGTTGCCTGATAATTTCTCATATTCTTTGATGTTACTCGTTTACTTTTCATCATTTTTAGTAGGTTTTTTTTATACAAATTTAGGCCATTTATAAGTTCTTCATTTGAATAACGATTTAGTATTTTTTTTCCTCTTTTTGTCATTTAGATGATCGCGCGACGATGCGTTCGATACTTCAATTTTGGAGGATTCAAACGATTAAAACAGATTTGTAGATTCCTAACTGCTGATAGAAATGAAGATAGAAAGAAACAATCATTCTGATGAAGTAGAGAGAGAAATGTAAAAACGAAAGATAAAGCAATTTTCAAGAAATATGTACAAGCAACAACGAAACGTAGACTGAAAGTTGAATAGACAAAGTTGAAATGGAGAAGGAGTTGGACCGGGAGCATCGTCGAAACAAAAAGAAATGCTGGTAGAAGTGCCTTTCTACTACTGTATATCATACATGTATACTACACAGATCAGTATCGTCTTGAAAATTTTCTCTACTGCATGTATCTGTCGCATTGAAAAAATATAGTTTTACATCTTGTATACAATTCATCATGAAATTGCTATTCCACATCAATCAAACATTCTCTATTCCACGGGCTAATTTGGTTTAGTTTTATATATAGCAATGTTCTGTATGCGTGGTGAGTGTGTGTGTTTGTATTGTTTTTTTTTGTCTTCTCTTAGATTGTTTTATTTTCCTTTTTGTTCTGGTAAAATTTCGGTAGTATTTGATTACAATAATAAAAGGTGCAAATGGTACCATTCCATGAACATCTCTATAATATAGCAAATGTTATATCTGTAGCGCAATCAATTACTAGATTTTCCTAAAAACATATTTTTCACTTTTTCTAATTCTTTGTTGTTACTCTCTGTGCTAAAATTGTATTCGTCATTTTGTTTATGTCATTTATTTCGCTAGAGTTAATCATCAAATTATAACGTTATTGTCATGTTCAAGATTTCAATCATTTTCAATACATAGTTTCTTCATCTTCATCCACTTCTATTTTCTTATTGAATTTTCCCTTTTCATTATGTTCACTTGGTTTAGCTTCTTCTTTTTGTTTTAACTATATCTCCTAAATAAAAGTTTAGCATTTCTACAATTAAATTTCATTCCCATTAAACAACATAGCATTTTAACAAATATCTTGCATTTCTTATCTTCTGTTTAAAAAAAACCGGTTCATTTTCCTTTTTTTTCTTTCTTCAATTAGTTGATTAGTTGACTGTTGATTGGTTTCTGTGTTTGTTATTGGTATATCTCTTCTTCGATTGTGTTGATGTTATTTAGCCCATCATTGCCGTAGTTCACTTTTTTTTTATTTTCTATCTTTTCATTTCTTTTCTTTTGTTTGTTTACGTTAAAATGCAAAATACATACAAAAATATCTGTGACTGTTTGTTGTTGCAGTATTGAAAATATCAGAGACGGAAAGCGATAGCGAAAAAGAAAGATAGAGAGAAAGAGCATGCTGCATAGTTTTGTAATGTCTACAATTCAGAACAGAATAGAACATGGCATTGGTTGTGTTGTGATATCGCTTGTGTGGTGCGCGGCTTTAATGAAAACATTCTCTTTTTTTCCTCTTCTCAAGTCGATTGTGTTTGGTTTGGTTTGGTTTTTTTTATTGTGTTGGTTGTAGTGTCGATGAAAAAGCTCGTTTCGTAATATATTTAGGAAGATTTATAGTTATTGCTGAATATTTATGTGAATCGAATTTCCTTGCTATTTTTTTGTTTTGGTTTTGGTTTTTGAGAGTGTGTGTGTGTGTGCATCAAAGTAAAAAACAATTGATGGCCTATGGTCACTATTGAAAATTCAAAATGGTTGATATTGTTTATGCAGATGCTGAACTAAAGTTTAAGTGAGTCGAGTGATGAAATGGAAGAACGTCTAGATAAACCCACACTTGGCGGCCCACTGACCATGGATGTTGTCCCGAATAATCGATACCAGCCGATCACAATGTTTGACAAATTTAAATTATCTAACATGATTTGCGCTACGCCCATAAACACTTTTTTTCCTTCAATACGGCCATAGTCACCCCATACAGTCACCTGGAACGAGAGAAGAAATTGTTTTTTTTTGTTACTTGCAGCGCCTTACATCAAGGTATAAACGAAACGGAATAACGAGTTAAAAATTAACTAAACTTTGAACAAAATAGAAGAAATTTCTTTCATTTCTTGAAGAAATGAATAGAATTTCATAGAAAAATGAAGCGAAAGATTCAACGAAATAGAAAAAAACAATGAACTCACCTGCAGTATGCATCCGGCAAATGGTTCTCGAAACACTAGCTGTTGTTGATACAATGGATCGAGCGTTTTTCGGGCGATCGTCGTTTTCGCTTTCGATATGCACTTTTTGCCACACACTAAATATACCTTGACATAAGGCGCTGGAAGTACTTTTGAGCCCGGCCGTAACTGTTTTAAATTTTGATTAAAATAAGTATATTTTCGTAATGATCTTCAGCATAATATGGAAAAATACCTGTAACCCTCTAGCGCGAATCACTTCAACTTCGAGGCAGCCTTTTTGATGGCACATGGATAGTTGGATGTCGCCCAACGATGATGCACCTAATACTTGTCGACCAACCAATTGGCCGGGGCCGAGACCATCGATAAAATCTGAATATTGTCCAACATCTGCTCCTCTAAGTGATGGTGACCACCTAGTTTTTTTTTTATTTCGGAAAAAAATCATCACAAACGGGATGAGAGAACACAGTATTCGATTAGTTTCTGCTTCACACAGTCAAATGAAATCGTTCGACATATACATATACACATAAAAGAAAATTGAAAAAAAAACCATTGAAAAATATAAAATCGAATGAAAAAACGTGTATGTAAATAAATACCATCGCCAACAAAATCATCAAAATTTATATCATGTATTCGGGTATTGATACATTTTTCAAAAGCTTTTAATTTGTTTTTCTGGTTTGATTCCACACAAAATTCATTTGTGTGTGTGTGTGTTGTGAGGAAAGGAAATGATGGGATCGGCGATCGTATTTACAAATTGATATATGATTTATCAGATTCTGATGCGTTCTAAATATCGAGAAAATGAAAACAATGAAAAATAAAATTTAAAAAAAAACCAAAACAAAAAAAGATGATCACTCGTCTAATAGATGAGAAAATGTGTTCCGATTTTCAAAAGCCAAAAGTCGAAAATTTTGAATTATATATAGATTGTTTGTTTGTTGCAGAAAAAATCATGTGATTCATAAAACACTGAGAATCGTTTAAAAAAATCACAACAGATTGAATTTGAGAGATAGAGAGACAGAGGCAGAGATGGTGGGGTGGTTATGGTCGTAAATCGTTTTCGAAAGATCTAATTCTGTTTTAGAGTTTTCACTAGAGATTTACAGGGAGATATAGTGTGAAGGATTTTCATATATAGCCTTCGATGTGTTTCAGTATGGAGCAAGCAATCCTTAGGCTAAACCATGCATGTTTAAATGAACCAAACCGAACCAAAAAAGAAAATCGAAGCTATAAACAGAAAGGGATGTCATACCAAAACAATGTAATGATCAACGAAATGATGAAGTTTCCATTTAAAAAAACAATACCAGAGATAAATCTACTCACAGTCAAAGCAGTACTTGAAACACATAATGTGTGCCAATTCGAAAATAATATCAGAACTAGATAATAAATTGCATCGCCGATATATAGGGCAAACTCATCGCTTCTTCCTTCATTACATCGCAAATGCATGCTGGATATTGTTATGCTCTTGTGCTGATATTTTTATCGAATTAAAAACACTTCAATGTCAACACATTTACATTTGTTAAAAAAAAACCGGAATCACATCCATCAAACAACCAATGTAGAACGAACACAAAGAGATGCAAAGCCAAAAAAAAACACACATTTATATTTAAAACGGAACACAACACATCTATCCAAAAGCCTTAAACTCTATTTTTAGTCCATCAGTTTCAGGAATTCGTGTAGAAAATTCGATTACGAAACGTTCAGAGTTGTACGTATTAAATTGAATAAATAGAAGAGTTTGAACGAATGAACACATATACACACCAGAAACAGTTAGGAGAATATCATTTGAGAAGTGTAAAACAAAATTGTTAAGGGATCTTGATTTGTTCGATTCGTTTCGTTACATATTTATGGTGAATATATTTTGTGTAATTGTGTCTCAGTGTTTCCGTCAAACTCGGTGTCTGTCTTGTTGCCTGTTTCTGTGTAAAATTTGTGCATTGTGCTCATTGTGTGGGTGTCTGTGTGCGTGCGTGTGTTTGCGCGATGGACACCACATACAATTCAGTTGACATGTTCTTCGTTTGTAATGGTCAATGTGATTTGTCTTGGTCATCGTCGTCATTTTGTCTGTCATTGGTGTTGGCAGTTTTGGTGGGTGGTTTGTTTGTTTTTGGTCGGAATTTTTGGGTTTGGATGAATGGTGTGCGAACTTACGATGAGCCATCTGAACTGGTGGATATTGAATGAAGACTTCCTGTGCGATTAGCCGACGATGATGGTGCTACTTCAACCGATCTTTGAATGCTACCGGAAGAAGATCGCTTTCTTTGTGACGACGAAGACATTGCTGATGCCTGGTCTGTTGTACAACACATAACACACATACATACAAAATTGATTTGGTTTTCTTGTTATTTCAATAATTTGATTGTTTTTTGTTTGGGTTTGTTTGTTTTTGTTATTGTTTTTTTTTTTGGTTGCAAAAATAATTTAACAGAAAGACTTTGTTTGGATACATTCGTTCACTCGTTGAATAAAAGCGGCTTCAAAATCGTTATTTTGTGTATGAAAGAAATTCAGGGTGTGGGACAGTATAAAGAGAAAAGTGGGAGTGTTTAAAGAGTAGAGAGAAGTGTGGTGTGTGTGTGCATAGAAGCAGAAGAGAAATTGAAAGTCGGATTTGAATTTGTTCTATGGAAGATTTCGTTCAACACTGTATAAATTCTAGGAATTTTCACTAAAGAAAATGTTTTTGGAATAATTTCGGACGTCACAAACAGATTTCGTAGTTATTTTCAGTCAAAAGTTTCAGAGAGAACTTTTTGTTGTTTTATATGTCTAAACGAAATTAATCGCTACTTGATGAGAATTGGGTGGTAGTAGCATGGGAGAAATATAGAGAGAACAAGATATGAGAGACGGTTCACTTGTGTTCAACAATACTTATTGTGGATTCTAGCGACTAGAGAACTAATTACAATGTGTTACTCAACGATTTTATTTGCTGTTTGTATTTAAAGTGGTTACTCTATGGACTACTTGCAGGGTTGCAATTTGATCTAAGATTTTTTTTATGGTTTTCAATTTCAATTCGGTTGTTAGAAAAGTGTGTATGGTGTATATAGGTCAACAAATGATAACCATGACTATAAAATGCTAGGAACGGAAGAAGCAAGATTTTTTCTCTAGATATGTTGTCTGGACCAAAGAGGCAACGAAAGACAACGGCAAATGTGTGGTTCGTGTACTTTTTTTTTATCCATTCCTGTGGTACAGAAGCGAGCTATTTTACTGATGTTTCAAAAGGGTTTATTTGGTGTTCTTTTGCTGGTTTTTTTTTCTTCTTGTTTTGCGATTACTCATCATTTGAAACATGAATTGGTTTCGTGCATGAACAATTCACTAAAACGTTCACTGAAATATGCAAATGCAATCGGTCAGCTGGTGATGCAGTCTCCGTTTAAGTCTGCAAACAATGGCCCATATACTCAACACAATACAATATTCAAACGCAATGAACTCCCAATTTATGTCTACGTTGACCAGGTGTCCACTGTCCATTCAAATTGACATTACCATGTGACAAATATGGTTAATATTGCGCGCAACCGTTTGTTTCACTAATAAAATTTCAATACCAATTCGAATGAATAATTAACTAAAGAGTCCAAAATTAACCAAACTAAAAATGAAAAATGGTTTACTTTAATGACAAATTGTACGTTAAATAGCCAATTATTTTCCATAGGACAACGTAAATACAACTAAATACATAAAAACGGTTTTTTGTTTTGTTTTCCAAATTGAGTTGAACAACCAATCACAAACGAAACGAAAATGAACAAAACAGAATTTGATCTAAACAAAACAAATTGCTTCGTTTTTGCTTTGATTTAGTGCTTTGTTTCATAATTAGTTGGCGGTCAAATTTTAATTCAATGAATAGGTTTTTTTCGTTATCAATTCCACTTTTTTTCCACATTTTGTATCATATGACCTTTTCTAAAAAAAAAAATATCTATGTTCAAATGCTATTAAAATGGTATCAGAAGAAAAAGCGTTTTATGTACAGCATTTAGTTTCTATGGTTGGATATGTGCAAATGTTGCTCTCATTTTTACTCGCTCCGGAATGGAGTTTCGAAAACAAGCAACTCAATCAAAAATAACTGTATTTCGTGCAAATGAATCTGTCCCCCGGAGCGAAGTAGAGTGAAGTAAATCCCAATTTACTTCGTTTTCCCTGCCTGAGTGAGTGAGTGAGAGAGAGAGAGTGTTTGTGTGTGTAAGTTCAAAATGGATTTCGACTACGTATTACGGTTTTAATGACAGCTCTAATAATATAATGAAATTGTTTTGGTGATATCGACCCTCACGACATATGAAAACTAGCGACCGAGCATAATAAATATATTTATTAAGGAAATCAAGAAACCGATAATGGTTGCCAACAAAAATGCTAATAATTCATGTGACTTCTATTTATGTAATAACTTTGAACTTTTTATGTTTGTTTTGTTTATTCGTTTGTTGTGGTGGTGTTTTCTATGTCTCCCTGTTGCAATATTACTTTACATTAATTGCTGCTGGGTAATTGCTCTATTGATTTTGTCGACTTGTTCGATGAGTGAAGGCATTTTGTTATATTTTTTTGGCTATTCTTTGATTTGTTTCTTCTTTCGATTTCAGGGCGAGAAAAAAGCCCAGTGAAACATGATTTCAGGGTGGCAAAAGCCTCAGGCTTTCTGAATTTAGAACTTTTGACAAAATGACAAATAAAACTGAATCAATTTTGGTTTTTTTTTCTTTTGGTTGTGGATTTTTTTTTCTGTTTTTGGTTTTCGTTTTTTTTTTTTTTGGATGGATGAGAGTGTGATTTGAAAATGAAAATGACGGTAAAAGAAAGAACGCAAAACTAAAAGAGACAAAACACAACTAAATGTTTGAATTTGTTGTGAAAACTCGAACCTGTCCACATCAACGCTAACCTCGCCATCACTAGAGGCCGATGAACCACGTGATAAACCGGCACGCATTTCACCCGGCAGAACTTCTTCGCTTCGATGCACCGTAAACGAATTCTTACCCTTTTTGCCGAAACCAATGCGTCGCTTTCGACCTTTGAGTTTTTATTTTGTTTTGGTTATTTTTCAGTTGATTATTTATAAATTGTTTTTGTTTGTTATATTTTGCTATGAATTTTAAAATTCTATACAATGTATGGAATGAGATGGAGAGAGTGTTTACTAAATTTATATATGTTGAGTATTGATTGTTGTCTACAGGATTAATTATTTTTTTGTTCGAATAGAGAGAGAAAAACAAAATGTATGTTTGAAAGAAGAGTTTAATTTTGTTCTACAACCGATTGAATAGTGTGAAGAAGTAATGTTGATCTCTAATTTATTCATGAGTCTAATCGAATGAATCCGTTTTTGTTTTTGCTTTGGAAATGAAGTAGTCGATTTTTGATTCAAAAAAGCGATTCGAGAGAGAAAGAGAGAGAGATAGTTACAGATAAAAGGACTATCAGAAGTTAGGTTAGATAGTGGAATAGATTACAGCAAGGATTTCTGTTCTTCATGAATAGGCAGTGTTCCGAAGTTTTTCGATTGGAATAGAAGTAATTTTGAATTGAGTAACTTTTTGTGTGTCTGTGTGTTTGTGTGTTTGTGCATGTGAAAGTGTATCCAATCATTGTTTTGTTTTTTTTTTTATATTCCAAACGATTTGCAAAACACAATGCATAAACATTTGGCTTGGAATGGGTAAACTTCGTTTCTTTTTGTTACGGAGCCGAAGTTCAATACATTGGCTAGCAAATCGCCTCTTTGATAAAACACGAGAAATCAAAGCAAATATCAAAAGCGAATAATGAGGATGAATTAGCTTACCAGTCGCTGATAATTGGGATGTGGAATTACTTTTTTTACCCATACCCGTGCCAAATCGATCCCGTTCCCTGGTCGGTGTTTCGCTTTTCGGTGACCGTTGATTCGGATTCCTCCGTGATCGATCGAAACCTGGCATTCCAAGAGCTGTATCACTTAGGCTACCATCTGCAATGGAAAACAAATTTGTAGGAACAATTTTATTCAATTAAAAAGTTGGAAGAAAAAAAGGGAAAACGAAAGCAAAGTCGCTCTTGTTGATGAAATGAAAATTAGTATTCTTCTGAATATTCGATCAAAGCTTACCAATTTTGTCGTCGGGTGTTTCTTCGTTCGTCGATAAGCTACGATTGAATGAGTCTTGTTCGCGTGGATCTCGGTCGCCAAGACTTCGGCTGGGCTCTCGATCGCCTCGATCACGATACGATTCGCGATTGTGAATCGATAAGCTCTGTTGACCGACTGGTCCACGGCTATTCGCACCACCGGAAATACTACTGCGCTCCCGTACATCGTATTCACTACTGTTGGACGGCACAGCATTCACAACACCAGACGATGTTGGTTTTTTCAACAGACCACGTTTTGGTGACATTTGAAGGGATGCAATACCATTTGGATTTTTGGGAAAATTCAAAGCACGATTAGCAATACTAGGATAACTACCATGGGCTTTAATACCGCGGCCAAATGACTTTTTACTGTACTCAAAATATTGCGGTGTTTCATTTATGCTAACTGAACTACGACCGCGCTCAAGATCTTTTTCCAGTAATTTTTTCGCTTGAAACAGTGATAAATCTTCGAGGCTGCTGCTACGCCGTTGCTGCGAACGTTTCTGAGGTGGTTTTTCAAAGACGGGCGGTTCAAAAACTTCATCGGAACCAGTTTCACCGGAATGATTTTCCCCATCATCGTCATCATCATCGTTGTCGTCGTCTGGAAATGAATTTGATCGAAGAGGCTTTGGTTTTTCTTCATTATTCGCTTTTTGATCGGTTGCCTGTTCTTTTTCTTTTTTACGTCGATCAGAATTACGATGGCTCAATTTTCGAAAACGTCGAACGCGAGATTTTGGTTCGGTATTCGATTTGTCTTTGGTGGTCGAATCGATTGTGGGCGTATCGAAATCGAAAAATTGCTTATATTTCGGTTTTATTTCCTCTTTTACCTCTTCTCGAACGAAGATTTTATTTTTGGGTGAGAGCATTGGCGAAAACTCACGCAAAAGCTTACGAATGACGTCAGGGGATTTTTGACCAATTTTTAGATGTTCAGGCTGTGGAGTGGGCACTGGCGTTGGAACAGGCGTAGGAATAGGTGTCGGCAAAGACTTTGGAACAGGCGTTAGAGTGGGCGTTGGAAGCATTCGATTAGGTGTTCTTGAAGGTGTTCTTATAGGCGTTCTTATTGGCGTTTTTATGGGTGTATTCAGAGGTGTTGATGCGCACATCGAAACCTCTGGTAGCTTCAAAGTGTTCAAAATTTGCACTTCGTTAACATTTCGCACATTGGTTACATTTGCCATTTCTTTTATATCTCTTGCGTCTCCGTATTCTTTAGCCGCCTTTGCATGTCTATTATCAGGAGCTTTTCGCCTTGGTCTACCCATACGTTCGACACTGCTTGTTTTGCTTGTGTCAAGTACGTCACTATCAGTGTTGCTGTCGACGGTTTTTCTCAGATCGTCTTCGTTGAACGATTTAACGATATCCAGCGAAAGGAAATTACGATTCGTTGGAATCGGTAGCAACTCAGGGTCAGTTTCGGTTTGTACCGATTTCATGGATTTATGCGATGATTCAACGCTATCTGAATGATAGCCGGAATGCGATTGATTTTCAAAGGAATTGAATGATCGTGATTTCATGAATGCATTGCGAATGGATTTGCGATTATGCAATGACTGTATCTGTGGAACCAACAGTGAATGCGTCGAATGACGGAATGTTTGTTCGTCGAGTGAACGTTGATTTGGAATCGACAACGAACTGCCACTGTGCACCGGCATACTCGATTTGATTATTTTCAACGATGTTGGAATACTTCGGCGAGATTTCATTGCTTCGATTTTCTGTCGCGAAGTTCCGTGTGAGATTTTCGGTGGGATTTTCCATCCGATTTCATCGACATTCACCGCATTCAGCCCATCATCACCTGAAACTGATCGTGTATTTTGAAAGCCTCTCGACAACATTTCGGACGATGATCGTGGCCGTGGTTGGTATTTCGATGAGCATGGCATAGCATCAATGAGATTGGTGCTTCGATTTAGCCGCGAATGCTTGTAATGGGATGCAAGCGAGCTATCGAGGACAAAGCTAGCACTAAGCGTTGGCGATTTGTCATCGTAATCATAGTCATTGGCCAAATTATGCAAACTAACCGCTTGTACCGTGCCCAACGGCATTTGCAACGGCAATCGTAAATTTGTTTCAGCATCAGCAGCATCGATAAGGGGCAAATATGGAAATGATTGATTGGTTTGCGACGATTTTAAATACATGGAAAATGAGGGATTTTGAGCAAGCCAGTCGGTAGGTAGACTAGTACATTGGTTTTGTCTAAAAGTCATAGGTTTCAACACACGGAACATTTTCACACAACATACAAAAACAAATGAACATATTCACACAAAAATAAACAGCAAAGCAGATTTGAAATAAATGGAATTATTCCAAAATTGGAAGTGAAAAGAAAAACATTGTTAAATATCCATGAAAAAAAGAAAAAAAAGGAAAGAAAAGCAATTCTGCAAATAAAGCATCAGATGCATTACCTCAATCCCCTTGATCCACGTGGCCGTTCTGATTGTGTTGAAAATGCACTTGAGGTAACACTAATGGAAATGGTGATATTAACACCCGGAAATTAGTGAATTTTGAAATGGCACAAATATTTTCACTGTAATGAACGAAAACAAATGCATACCTAACTACGGATTCCATATCAGAGTCGCCGAAATCGCCCATGAAATCCTTGTCCGGCGACAATGAATGTTTTGGCCGAAGACGTGGCTCCAGCGAATGCATTGTTAAATCACTATCTGATAAACCAGCATAGTGTCGCTCCCATCCGCCCATGCCGGTGCTTCGATACGTTTGTTGATGATGTGAAGAAGAATGATGATGTGGTTGTCGAGTGCGATATCGACTAAATCGTCCGATGCCACGCTCTTCGAAGTCTTGCATCAGTCGATCCCTGTTAAAAGAAACCACACACACCATTTGCATCCTGTCAATTTTGCATTCGACATGAACATGAGGCGCCTGGAAACTTACCGATCCCGCAATACCATACGATTCGTACTGCTTCCTGCGCTCATACTGTTTTGCGGCACTTGTGGAAGTTGACGTTTTTTCGGTGAACCCGTTGGAGTGGCGGTCGCTGATCGCGATTGCGAACGATGCTGAACACGATTATGTACTGTTAAACCTGAATAGTCTTGATATAAATCTTCGGGCGGTGATAATGAACCGCGACGCTGTAAACTAGCCGAGCGATAATTTTCGCTCGGCGCTGCTGAATGACTTCGTTGATTCATTGACATGACACCATTTCGACGTGCTAACGATGTCTGCAAACGAGATGGAAAAGAAAAATGGGACAAACACATTTGTCGCATGTATTAAATGCATTTTTTCATACTTAAAATGATAATTTGGACACGTAAGTGAATGCAATAGATTCATATACAGGCAAGAACAAGAACAAGAAGTTAGTGTTTTGTTCAAGAATAAGTGATATGATGCTCAAAGACTTAAAGAAGTAAAAAGCTCTAGAAAAAAAATAAGAAGAAGAAGAAGATGAAGTGAAGCCTCTGCGAAGTGTTCCCTGCGACTCACCACAATAGTTTGATTGTTATTATGGTAACTTTGTCCAATTCCTGATACAGTGCGATAATCACGTGCTACCATTGCTGATGCCCGTTTTCTACCTTGTGGTGACATATCACGCCTAGATCGACGCTCATTTAGATCCGTCTATACAAGCACGCAATACACAAAATGCGAAGGAAAAAAAAAACAAAAAAAAGAACACAACTCTATTAGTCTCATTCCAATGGTTGGCATTTCTACTTTGATGTGTGCGAATAGGAGGCGTAAAAAAATTGTAATATTGTCTGGTAACTTGGTATTTTTTTTAGTTGTTGTTGTTGTAGTTATTGTTGTTATTATTGTTATTGTAACGAAACATGTCTAAAAGCAAACCACTACTCATATTTGTAAATATGTATATAGGACAAGAGCATAATCATATATATGTATATCTATATTATGCGTACATAACTTTTGGTGTTGCAACTTTGAAATTATTTCTTTGAAATATGTAGAAAATGTTAAGAGCATTTTCAAAAACTTAAAGCAAGATTAATTGTATATGATGTATTTATGCAGGACAAAAAAAAAGAAAGCGTATAGTATACACATATCTCATTTTGGTTGCATTCTAAATAATAGTTAACCATTTGTATTGGAATGTGTCATAAATCGTGTCAACTGAAAAGATTTTCTTGATGAGAGCATATTAAATGAGAGTAAAAAAGGAAATGTACGCAAGTATAACAAGAACTGGCAAATGTGATACGTTAAAACTACTGAGCGATAGAGCGCACCTAAAATGGCTGTTTATATCATCTTATCAGATATATATATATATATCGTTGGAATAATGTGGTTGAAATGAAGAGAAAAGCGAGGAAAAAAACAACGAAAACCAAATCAGAAATAAGAAGATAAATGCACTTTCCTCTCTCGGGAATGCAGAGAGAAAGAGAGTGAGACGAAAAGAAGCATCGAGTAAAATAAATACTTAATAAACTTGTGTCTCCCATTCTCTCTACGAACGAATACTATTGTTTTTGCTATTATTTTATGAACGAATGATAAAGTATGTCTTCTCTTCTGAACTATATTTCTCGTTATTACTTCTTGCGTTTGGCGAAGCAATGCAAGCTGTATTGACACACTGGAGAAAAAGGAACGAAAAACGAATAAAAACAAGAAAAATTGTATCGTAAGGAAATAAAATGATGGATAAATCTGAACGAGAGCGAATGAAAATAATATGAACAAATGTGCTTGATAATTTTGATGAAGAGTGTATACTTGCGGTTCCGTTTCTCTGTGTATGTGTGTGTGTGTGTGTGTGTGTGTGCGCGTGGAAAAAGTTTTTACGTGTTGCTATGTGTATGTGTATGTATTCGTGTGTTTATTTCAATATATTCATTTGTGTGGTTGGAATTGGTTGTGCATTTTGTGTGTTCATTCTCAGTTCTAACAAATACCAAGTCAGTTTTAGCAAAATATCTTCTCATTCTATATATTGAAATGTGCAATTTTCTTCTTCCTTTCGCCTTAAACTCTCACTTCTATTTTCGGATAAAAAAACAACAACTTATCATCTAGGACAAACATCTTATTAAACTCTATCATCTCATTTCATTAATATCCTGTTTTCTTTCATTTCATTTTATTATCAGCTGCAGTAAAACTGTTGAATAATTAGTTTTAAACGGCTGTTACGATTTTACATTTACAACTCCTATGCAATAATATTCTCAAGTTTTCTTAGCCTATCAACAGATCAGTGTTCGTTTCATTTGAGCCAAAGACAGATAGATAGAGATAGAGTGGCACGCAAAAAAAACAACATTGATTAATTATTTTATATATCGCTTAATTGCTCTGAACCTTCGCAGAGTGTACTAAAGGAATAAAAGAGGCACAATATTTAAAAGGGGTTCATAGATTCGATACGTTATTTGTTTTAGGTTTGAAGAAAATGTTTTAGTTTTAAATTCAGTAGAAGTAAGTGGGTTTTGGTTTTGTTTTTTTTTTGTTTTTTTTTTTCAAATTTTGTGTCAGTGTGAGATTTGATTTTACCTCTGCCGGAGGACTAGACGAACTGCCTAGTGATGATATGCTAGCACCATCACGACCGGTTGCCACACCATCAATATCACATTCAGACGTTGTATCTGAGTCGCTTAAGCGTGACGTTGTACTTGGCGGTGATAAATGATCGGTCGGCGTTAAAATCATGTCCATTTCATTTGTATCATCTCTACGTAACTAGAATTGACGAATATAATATATACACAAATGATTTTTTGTTTGTCATTTGAATCGGAATTTGTTTTTTTTTGTTCGGGTCATCCTGGAATGTGATTGCATTTTTTTTTTGTTATTTTGGTCTTGGATATCTTTATAAGGAGAACTCATTATTATTATTTTTAGAAAACTCAAAATAAAAGCGGTTTTTAGCTGGCAATTTGCCTTTGAACTGGCTTCGTTTAGAAAAACAAAATTTTATATCAAATTAAATTTGTTTTTTCTTCATTCTCATTTTGTTGGAGATTTTTATGTCAATTTCTCTTTGATACAAAAAAAAGCCCAAAAAAAAACCAAAAATTAAATAAACATAAATAGCTCAAAAACATGGCTTTTGCAGCGATTTTGTAATAAAATATTGTGTGTGTGCATTTCATTGCAAATGGGTCGAACCATTGCACTTGTTTTTTTTCTGTTGTTGTTGTTGCACTTTCACTGGAATTGAATTTTCCCGAGTTGCATTTAAATTCCATATTTACTTTGCATTTTATAACATCGAACGCGGCGGTTTAACATCATACATGTGAGTCAATTTGTGTTGCAGTGTGTTTTTGAATGCAGATTAATTCTCCAGGGAGAATTGTTGTGAATTTGAAATGTTTGGAACTGAATGAAATTTATGAGAGTGCTTTTAATTGTAGATGACAGTATATGTTATGTGATGTTTTTGTTCTCGTTATTGTTTGTATCACAAAATTCGTTTAATACTTCATATCCAAAAGGGAAGGGTAGAAAAAATAGTCATGAATGAGAAAAATAAAATTAAATTTAATAAAATGTTTGAATTGAAGAGAAAAAAAACGAAAAACTCCAAATCTGGTCTCTCTTGTTGGATTTGGCAGCATGCATAAAAAAACCCATAACTGCAATCGTATTTTTTTCAAAAGAAACAACAAAAAAATGGATTTTCTCGCTAAAAACTGAAAAAGCTTTTGATCATTTCGTTGTAGTTTGGTTTTTTTTTCGGTGCACCTCAGCATTGGGGCAAAATATTACCGGCCAAAAGTAAATACGTATCTCGAAGTTACCAAACAAACCGAACAAAAAATCATGCTTTTTTATCAAAGAGCTCAAATAAAATATGTTATACGTAGAAGGATGTGTGAAAAAGGTACGTTTGATATTAAAATTCGTTGAAAATAAAACGACGACGGATGAATGTACAAAACAATAGATCAATAATTGCAAAGAGCGTCAAAGTAGTAGAGCTGTATATTTAAACGGTGAGTGATTGTGAGAAGTGTAAAAAGGGGCAGAGAGAGAAAGGATGGAAAGATTAAGAGGCAGAGAGAGAGAGAGAGAGTGGAAATGGGAGAATAGAAAATGGGGTCAATTTATTTTCGCAAATATTCCACAACACAATTGTTGGAACACTTTCAAAGATAACCCCATTTTGAATAGTTTTTTTCTTTACCATTTTCATATTCTGGTGAATGGAAAATTGTTGTGATAATTGTGTGAAATATGAAATGTAAACAAAAATGAGAATTGAAAGGATGATATGTTCACATGTGAAGGTGGGATTATATGAATGGTTTGGAGCGAAAATGTAATACAGAAAAGTTGAGCGGAAAAATGTCGATGATGAATGAGCGGAAAAGGGATAGCTATATAGTAAACTGTATAGTAAACTATAGTGAACTATATAGCTATCCCTTTTCATTTGACATTTTTTCGCTCAACTTTTCTGTTTTACATTTTCGCTCCAAACCATTCATAAGTATTCTGTTTACAGAGAAATTTCGTTTGGCCAAAAATTAAAATGTTACAAATGGAAATTGTTCAGTTGAAATGAGATATATATAGAGATAGATAGAGAGAACGGCTAAAACGAAGTATCCAACTAAAATGAGAGTTGAAACGAGATTTATATAGTTAAAAGAGCAAACAACTGACATAATGGGTATAAAAACCAAAAATAACCGAACCGAAAATGATAGCCGAAAAAGGAAAAACTAAAAACCAACGAGAGAGAGAGAGAGAGTTTCATAATACGGTTTATTGGAATTAATTTAAATCATATAGCTGGAGGAAATGTTTGTATCTCTCGGTGTATAGATGTATAAATATGGATTTAAAATTGATATCATACGTACTGTGTGTAAATTTGATTCTTGATGCCCATGTAATGTGTACCATTCAGCTTCATCGTCCAACGGATGGCTTCCCAATTCTAGTAAAACTTCGCCCAAAAAATCATTTGCACCATATCTTACGTAATCCCAAACGGTTATCTAAACATTTGCATTTTGCGAATCGATTCGAAAATGCAAAATTCGGAGAACAAAGATGACAACGAAAATGGTGGATATGATTAAAATTTGCAATCTAAAGCCCATATATAATAGTATATATTGTGCATCATTGGTCGTTGACAATTTTCCAATTTAAAATCGAAACATAGAGACTCACTTCTAAATATCTATTGTTTAAATCGGCACGCCGAAGTCCTGAGTAAACAAATGTTTGCCCCCAGCGCGGTTCATTTGTATTTGCCAATGTTTTTGAGCGCCGTTTCGATTTATCACAACGGTCCGGAAGTAAAAAAATCTGCAATAATACACATGGCATGTAAATGAAAACACAAAGCCCCAAACCAAAGTACAATGCAATTCATTTGATGACAATATATTGTGTGGTGGTTGTTGATGATTGATTTTACCTTTACGTATGGGTTTCTTGTTGCGCCGTTTGCACGATAAGTGAGACCAGCGGCACCAATAACGGTTAGAATGAGTTGTAGTGTACCGGGTTCGAAGCCAAGTTTGATTTGTATGCGACCGCCAACATTTGAATCGCCAACAACTGAACCAGCCGACGTTAAACGATTCGAATATCGTGCACCTGATGCTGATGCTCCGCTAGCCACCCGATCCGGTGAACTTGGTGATGTAACTAAAACACTTGGCTTATCTCGTCGATCATAAGCTTCTACAATTGTGATTCAATGGGATACACAATTTCAAATCAAAATCGATTCGAATCGCAAAATACACGCAACAACAAGGAAAGAGACAAAAAAAGAACATCAACCATTATTATGTACAAGTGATGTAAGTATTAAATCAATTTCGAGTAAACTAAACTACAATCTATTTAGCTATTGATTCGAATGCTCTTCTTTTATCAACAATGAGATCTACCATTAGAAAACCAGTTAATATTTAGAAAAAAACGCGGATAAAAATGAAAAAGGAATTGTAAGTACAAAATTAAAACCCACAAATAGACGAGTTTCATTTATTTCCCATTTCATTTTCTAAGCGGCGATTTCCACACACGTTATTTTCACAGCACGTGAAAATATGGGAAATACGAGAAAAAAAAACAAATATTTTCTCAACAAAAACGAAAAGTGGATGAGCTCTAATGAATTGGTTGGTTTTGTGTCATGAACGAGAAAAAAAACCCAGATGAGATGAGTCAGAGATAGAGATGAACGGTTGCATTTTATGATACAACTGAATGTTCTATTGCTTGCTTGGCTAAATGTTATGTTTTAGATCCACCGATAGATGGATGGTTAGATGAATGGATGGTTGGATGGATGGCAATTGCAATTGCCAGTTGTGTGTTGTGTTTGTTGTCTGTAGTCGTGTGTGAGAGTGTATTTAGTGGAATAGTGTACATCTTGTTCTTTATGTTTTGAACCATATTGCATTCTAAACCATGATTGTGTACTGTTTATTGTTGTGTTGTTGTTTTTTTTCTCTGTTCACTCCTTTCATGGAAACATATACAGATTCCTATATGTGCGATGGCTTGTTTATTGTCTCATTTCAAAACTCTACCATGAAGGCTGTTATACACAACGGCGACAACGACGCCGACGACATAAAGTATTGCACAAAAATAGAACGTAACTCGAGCACACACACACACAACACATCAATATATTATATATAGTTGTTGTTGCTCCTCGTTATTCTGTGGATGTGTGTGTGTGTGTGTGATTCGAGTATAAAACTAAGTTGTTGCTCCCATTTAACACAATTGATTCGATGTCTACTTTCTTCTTCTTCTTCTTTTTTTAAAATTATATTCATGTCGTTAAAAGTTAATTAAAAAACTTGTTTGAAAATCTTCACCAGGCGCTTGTGTGCTACTCAGTGATAGGGTGTCAATCACTTTAAGTGCGTGTGTTTGTATATATGTGTGTGGATAAAAAAACACACTTAATTCACATGTACAAAAACAAAATAAAAGGTGTCATTCTCTTCCCAAGTTTAATATAAAAAAAAAATCAAAGGTAAACGACAAACTACAATATGACAACTGTACAATTAGAACACGCATACTCATCGGCATCACAACGAAATGAATACTCAGACGTGAGATAGGGACAGAAATAGAGAGAGACAAAAACGAAATGAAAAACCGTAAAGAAAAAGACCAAAAAACGAAAACGGAACCAAACGGTTCACTTTTCGGTGTGGCAAAACAACATACACACACAGTAACAACACAAAGAACAAAAGAGTAGAAAAAGTATATTGGCAGCTAATAAAACACAATCAATCAAAAAAAAGAGAGTGCACATTGTCTCCGTTTTAGTGTACCTGCATGACGTAATCGTGTTGGCGAATGCGACTGTCTCCAAGAAACCTGGGCCGCTCGTCGACTTGCCGCTATCACACGCGACACTATCAATTCCACTTGTAGATCATGCTTGCTATCGGCTATTATGTCATGCACTTCTTGTGCACTTCGACCGCACAACGATTGGCCATTCCATTCGATCACTTCGTCGCCTAAAACGTACATTCGCAAAAAAGACACAAAATGTGAAAACCAAAAAAAATGTGAAAGTAAAAACCGAAATAACAAACCTACCTGGTTTAATGTGACCTTCCTGATCAGCAATCGAACCATGCTTCACCTTTTCAATGATGGCACCGAGACGGCCATTCGATAATGTTTGACCGCCAATCACCTTTAAACCTAATTTATCCTCTGAATCAAGATTCTTTTTGAAAATCATATGGCCAATCATACGTGTTCCCTTCCCATCAACTTGCCAACTCACTGGATTTTGCTGTTTTGTTTGTTTTCATTCGATTTTTCGTTGAGTTACACACAAGATTGATTGTTAATTTCATAAATTCATAGTTGTCAGCTTTCTTAATATGTCTACGATCTCACGCTATCCCTTCAACAAACCTGCTTACAACTAGCTAACAATTATTTTACACACACTAACACAACTATCGAAACTTGTTTTCTTCTGCTTTTTCCCTGCGCTTTTCAAAAAAAAAAACTTTGTCACGACTTGGTATATACATACTTAGAATAAAATACAGAGTGCTGATCTCTTCTTACATGTGTTTTCCAATCGATTTGGAGTTTTATTTAAATAAACATAAAACAACAACGTAATAAAACAAAATATTTAAAGAAAAGGAAACGAAAGCATGCAACATTCAGACACTTGTTTGTGTCTTGTAATATGAAATCCAGCGATGAAACGAACAACCGTTGATAAATTACAATTTCATCGGCGAAAAAGTGAAGAATTCCGAGAAATTGATGTTTTTGCTTGGCGAAAACATACACACACACACCAACGCATGTATTACTTCTTTCGGTTCGTTTCAATTTTAGAACTTGTTGCGAATCGCCACGTAGACATGGAAATTGGATGAAATGATTCGTTCTGCAGAAATAATTTTCAACAACGAGAGATTTTTCCATCATATAAAAGGTGATCGCTGTGCCAAAACCTTCCATGAACTGTGAGAACGATGGTGTTTTTTTTTCTATTTTCCTTTTTTTTGGTTTCAAATTTAATCCATGCTCTGTTTTTTTTTCGCTCGGTCTGGTGTTTTTTTTTATTGTCAAATGTCATTAGCAGCAGCAGTAACAGTATATGAAACTGTATAAGTTCATTTTGCGATACACATGCAACACATTTACCTCCAACAATATATATATATATATATCTCGGTACACCGACGGCTAATTTTTTTCATTCTCTCTCAATTTGAATGATGGCAAACAAAAAATAAATGTTACAAACTACTTTTTTTATACATATATGATTTTGGCGTTGGAAAATGATATCCAGAGAGAGAGAGAGAGAATGAGAAAGACAAGGAGAGTCTGTCTGAGACACAGCATGCAAATTAAACAAGCAAACAAACAGCATGTGCTCGAGTAATTAAATTGCTAAAGCCGAGCATATAAGCTTTATTCGGTTGTTCTATTTTAAATACACCGAATCATACGTGGTTAGTGAGAGGGTATGAAGAAGAAGCGGGTTTTTAGTTCCCAGCGACAAAATGAATATATATATGCGTTGATGGTTACGAAGAAAAAAACAACAACTAAGAAATCAAATTTTGAAAGCACGGAACGGAAGAAAGGCGGAAACGAAACGGTGTTGTTTTTTTGGCAATAGGAAAATGGAAACAAATTGCATGGAATTTTCGTTTTGTTTGGTTTCGGTTGAGCTTTTGTAAGCTGAAGACAACAAAATATTACTTGAGACATGGACACTGTCTCCTTGTCAATGTGTACCAATAAAGAGCTTAATTATTTAGGGACTATGTAATAATCGACTCCGTTCGATATCGATATGGAATCAATTATTTCATCTTATTCGAAACGGAAAAAAAATTGGGCTAAACAAACTTTTCTATACATTTCGCAAAAAATAAATGATGACTCACGACTAAAGGCAAAAAACTGGTTACTTTTCTACTTTGTTCGCTTAAAAGTTATTCTCAATAAATTTGAACAAACAACAAAATAAAAAGAAGACAAAAACACGTTATTCAATAACAACCAAAAAGAAAAATACGGTTGAAACTAAAGCGACACACAGAGACGCACACACCAAACGAAACAAAATGAAAGAAAAAGAGAGTAGCTTCGGATGTTATGTGAATACCTTTAGGCCTTCGCCTCGGTTCGAGTCTTCACTGCTAGTGAAAGTGCTGCTGGTATCGATGCCCGAATCTCGTGTCGTTGAATCTTGGCTATTTTGCCGTTCCGAATCCCATCGTGTCCAATCATTTGACTCTTGGCCATCGAAACGAACGGTTTTCTTTCGTCGTTCCGTGTATCGTCGACTATCAATGCTGTACGCATTTGGATCTTCTAGACTAGTGCCCGCACTAAGACTACCGCTACCAATGCGGCTAATCGTGTTCACATTACTACCGACTAGGGTTGCCGTTGAGCCAGACAGCCCACCACCACGGCTGCCATTATTCCAATATGGATCGTTTGTTTGCTGATGGTGTGGTTGTTGTTGTGGGAAATTCACGTCGTCGCCGACCACAATCTGCGGACTGTGTTGCAAACGATGATTTGTACGATTGTAATTATTTCGATGATGCACGTCCAGTTTGCTATCGATTTGGTTCGAGGTAAGCCGAGCCGATGCGCTTACAACGGCATTATTGTCATGCGGTAGAAGATTTGTGTTGTGACCCGCTGTAAATATAACATTGTAAATCGTGCTCATTGTTTCGTTTCATTCAATTGCATTTTTGACGTGTGTGTGTGGGAGTTTTGTTTCGCTAAAAAAAAATCTTGTTTTTTTTTAAATTATTTTATTGGGATAGGGGGATGATAAACTACGCTTGGGATATTATTCTTTTTCTGTGGTCTAATTCGATAATTGCACGCCCAATTTCATAATAATGGTATAATACTTGATGTCATTCAAAAGTATTTTCACTTGATTGTTCGCTTCAATGCTTAAGCTATATAGAGACAACGACGGCGACTGTTCATTTGTTTTGCTATTTTTATCTCGTTTAAATGTCTCTTTAAAAGTACACAGAAAGAAAAACACAAGTATTATTTAATAACATCAAAACAAAATATATAGACAAAAATGTGTGTCGGGTTGGCGGTAAAGGTCAAAGCTTGCAGTTTGCTTTAGCACAGCGCTTCGGTCAATATTTGCCGTATTCTCAGTTGCATGAAAAATAACAAAATGAAAATGGCTGCGATTCACTTGAGCTATTACAAAAAGGAGCGAAATATTAACAAATTGTTTAAAAAGTTGATGTTGTTGTTGTTAGATTTAGTAATAGACAACGTGTAAAACTAAAATATGGCTAAAAAAAACGGAAACAAATCAAGTGCGATGACACACACACAACAGCAACAGCAATATTGTTGAGACCATTCAATTCAGTGCGAATAAATAAAGTATAACGATATGATAAGAGGTTTAACATTCACAGCGGACGATTCATTTAAATGGACAAACAAAAACGAAAAATCAAACGAAAGAATATATCGGAAATAGAGCTTTTTTTGTTGTTGTTTTAAAGCGAAAGGTAAATATGGTTCAATTTGCACAGAGTTACTATTTTGCTATTTTGGGCATTCCAAAAATAAAACAATTTTCATAGCACACATCAACGGACGAGGGTAAACAAATAACTTGAAACGGAGTAAACGAAAGAGAATATATGTATATAGATATTATATAGTTAGTATAGAGTATGCAACATTAACATTTGTGTAGATCATTTGTTTAAAAAAAAAAGAAGAAAAAAGAAACACACACGCTGTGGAGATGTGAATATATGAGGTAAAATTGTGAATCAAATAGACGGCTCGTCATATTTCAGTTATATGTAATTCGACGCACACAAACACATTTCACAACAATTAATTTCAGCCTAATCTCTTCTATGTGTTTATGGTCGGTGATAGAAGAATCGCGTATGATCACACGAATTGCATCGTTTTCTTTTGCTGAAAATGAACAGAGACAACGAATGCAATTCGCTCGATCAAAAATTGAAGACTGATTGGAAAGAAGAATATATGTGATTGCTTTCTTTCCCAGTAAATTGTTTCTCGTTTTGTTTGTGTTTTCCATAAAACAATGAAAATATGTTTGAGATCTTTGAGACGTATTCCCTGCATTGGGTTAATATCACAAGGATTGTTAAATGATTACCTTTTATCATACTTTCTTTTTTTTTCCTATTTTATCTGGTTGTTGTTTGTTCATTCGTTTTTTTTTCGTCTCTTTCGTCGAGTGTATTCTACGTCGGTTCAAGTCGCTGTATGAAATTCATTGGTAGCAAACCAATGTTCATTTCACTCGATTTATTTTTAGGTGAATCATGTACCTTCCCTTTTTCTTTAGATTAATATCAATTTTGTGAACATGTATTTTGTCAACGATTTCCGTTGTTTATGCTGTTGTGTTCCGTGTGGATGGCTGTGGAACGCGGTGCCTGTTCAGAAAACGACATTCCAACAACACACCATTCAACTTCATATCAACGGCGGAAGGATTTCAAACGAATAACCAACTTTTGGGTTTTTTTCTTCTTTTAAACGGTCTTTTGTGCAAAGTTCTTTCTTTTGCATCGAATATTTTTAGTTTTTTGGAAATTCGTTTTATTCACTCATTTATTTGCGAATGCCATGAACATTGAGCAACCAGAAACTACATAAAATGTGGAATTGATGTTATTATATAATACTTTCAAAGAATACAATTAAAATAAACTATTTCGAATAAACAGAAACATGAACAACATCTTACACATGCACACAACATTGTTGTGTGCGATGGAATTCCTCTGAATAAATTTCAGTTGCGAAAATAATCCAGAGGGATAAAATCGTGTACAACAGAAACCTAACCAAAAATGCAAGATAGAAAAAAAAAAAAAAAAATATACAACAGTGTTAAAATCACGTCGAGACTTTTAAGTAAAATCGTAATTTGGTGTTGCGCGAAAAAAGGGCAACATTTAAAAGATTGTTTAACTTGTTTCATTTATCGTTTCATTCAAAACTTCGATGGGAGCAACAACGTCGATTAAAATACACTATAATTGGAGAAGTTAGAATTTTAAACACAGTTTTCTGTGAGTTATATGTGTGTGTGTGTTTGTGTAAAGTGTTTGTGTGCTTAGTTGGTCTGTAATTGTGTTTTGTTCATTTGTGTTTTATTGTGTAAGTTTTTGAAGGAGATTGAGATAGAGAGAGAGAGAGAGTGAAAATGACAGTTCAAACAAATGATTCATTCTGATAAAATGAGTTTAGACAGTTTCATTGCCAGCGACAACCGCCACAAGTGGTGCATACTCCATTCACAGTAATGAGGCAAGAAGAAGAAAAGGATGGTTAAGAAAATTTAAAACGAAAGAAGAAAACAAATGAATCTCTTTTTCTTCCATACCATGACCGTGACGATAGTTTACAGCGCAAAAGTGCCAGCAATAAAAATGAGAATTGGCGAACGACTGATTTGCATATGGAACGATGCTGAATTCAAACGATGAATTCAATTTAGTTTCGGGGTGAAAAGGGACGAAAAGCGAGGAGAATGTATTGAATTTGGTGTTCAAGCCTGATGGCCTGCATTTTTGCCAACATACCGAAAAAAATTCCAATAAATTACATGAATTGAAAACATCGCGGTGGCGTTGCATTTCATGCAATAATGTGACAGTTAACTGATATTATGAGCGCAACATGGCTATGTGAAATGCACAAAATCGCAATGAAATTGCCCATATTGAGGACGCTCGCTGCCCTTGTGATCATTTATGGATGAGCTCTTATGATAGCACGCATCGACCAGCAGCAACAAAAGCAACAACAGTCACGAACAGCAGCAGCAGTAGCAGTAGCAGTAACAGTAGCAACAGTGAAAAAGTGTCCAATTTCTCGCTGTGTCCATTGCTAAACAATGCTTCGATTTTCATCCGAATGAAAGTCATCGAAATCGAACCGGACCGTATATAAAAAGCAATAGATACATGTAATTTTCACATGGAAAATGTGAATTTACTTGCTTTAATTGACACATTCGTTGGTTCGAATTTTCCGAACCAAGCACTAATTTGACGTTCAAAAATAGTTTTTGTTGATTATGTCAACGTGAATGAGGTCGATTGATTCGTACGACACGATGTGGCGCTCAATTAAATTAAAAGCCTATACATGCAGAGCCTGTGAGAGTAGGAGAGAGAGAGAGAGGGAGAGAGAGAGAGAGCGAGAGCGAGTAGAAAACTTGAAGGAAAACCATTTGATATTCAGATAACATGACTTGAGACGCTGATTGAGTTTGAAATCGTGTTTTGTGTGTGTGTATCGCTTTGCGCTCACTGTCTCCTCGCTCCACGTTCACTTGAATATCAACCGTTTGTCAATGTTGCACAGCATATGGAATTCCATTTTGTTGAGCCATCATAATTAGATTTTATTTTCCATTTTCAGCTGCACACACTTTCTAATCTTTTTAGGCCGAATATAGAAGAGTGATGAGGAAGAAGTAAAAGAAGAAAAAAGCGATTGCCTGTGCTTTTATGTTTTCCACGTTGTTTTTCGACTCTCGTTTTCTCATTTGCATTTCGATTTTTTCTTTCCAGAACCAACAAATTTCACTCAGTTTCACTAAAGGCAAATATCATTTTCAATTTTTTTTCCTCTGCTGTTGTTATTGCCGTTTTTTTTGCTTCCATTTCTTTCCTGTCGAAGTCACGAGTCGCGATGTGATTTAATTTTTTCGCTTTCCATTTATGGTTGAAATTGAATTCAGCTGCACTTGTCAAACAGCAAAGTCAAGCCACCGTAAATTGTATGCACAAAACATGAGAGCGAGAGAGAGAGAGAGAGAGAGAGAGAAGAAAAAAAAACCCTGACCTGACTCTCTGGATCATCTGAAATGCAATGCATACGAAATGTCGGTGCGAGAAATAGAGAGAGATAGCAGGCGAACGCAGGAGACATACAGACACACACACGGTGTCGTAGTGGAAGAAAGTGTGAACGTGTGAGCGAATGAGAAAATCCTGAAAACCATGTGTGAAATTAAATATGAATGACACGAATCCGCGGGCGCGCGCGAATTGAAACAACGAATCGGCTAAGGAGAAAATATTATCGCTGCCTGATTACATGTCACAAAAGATTCGAGGTAAAACTGTGTCATGAATGTGTGTGTGTGTGTGTACAATGTGTTTTGAGTGTCAAGAGATGATGGTTTAACGTTAAAAGAGTGCAAGAACAGCCTACGGCTATGGCAATGCACACTCTCGATGATATGAGATAAATGGAACGAAAGTGAGAACGAGAACGAGAGAGAATGGAGGCATGGGTTGGCAATGAAGAGATCGGAAATGAAACCAAAATGAACGTGATGAAGATGATCGTATCAAAACACGGAAACTAATATCATGGTAAACCGTGGTCGAATACAAACATTTACAAATCAAATGATGATGCCCATGAAGAGGACCAGACACTTTTCAATTTTCCGTCTACACCACTGTTTATCTGCAATTCGAATTTTTGGCTCTTGAAGATTTTTTTACTCGCCCAAGCAAGTGTTTTGCTTTTCTTTTTGTCGTTGTAATTTTGGTTTTATTTTTTATCCTGTCATTGGTTTGACAAAAGTGTCGCTATTTTCAAAGTGTCAATCAAAAATGGTTTGTTTTGCCATTATC